AGGAGGGGCGGTGGGGGGAGTGAACCGTAGGTCGCAGCCGGTCTTTGGTCTCGGGTTAAGGAAAATATGTTTGTGTAGAGGAGAAGACAACCCACTGTAGCCAGGTAGCGCAAGACTGGGCTCTAATTCCCTCACTGGTTCCTATATCTTTTACCTCGATTTAAATGGTCATGAATAGGTGGCGAGGTTCCGTTCAGTAGAGTGACGTGTGACAGGTGTTCCTGAGCGAAGTATCTCGGGGAGATAGGCAGTGTCTAGGCATTGCGGCATCCAGGGATATGTTCTTTTCTATGTCGCTTCCAGTCAACCTGCTGATAGCTGCTGCAGAACCCTCCTACCCCAGGCCATGCCCAGGTTGTGTGTGATCCTGGGCGTGGTAAGGGAATAGTAAGGGAATGTGTGCCTTTGCTGTGTTGAATAGATGTATCAGAAGTGTCTTTTTGTAGTGCTAGTTGGAAATACAGAGGTCTAGAAGGTATCTGATGGGCCCCTAACCTAGGTCAGTGTCAGTGACATTAACCCCCATCAATGTCAGTGAGTTTTGTAATTACCAAGGAGACGGTGTTGCAGAAGGGGTTTTTAAATCAACAGCTTCAGAAGATGTGTTGCATTGGCAACAGGTGGGAGAAGAGTTGGGAAAGTTTGTGAAGTTTCATTGGGATGTAATGCCACATGGCTAGAGGTTTGTACCCAGTTTCTTGGATCTTGTCAGCTATAGATGTGTTATGGGCAAAGTGAATAATATATTCACTGTGTTACATAATGTGGGATGTGGTCTTCAGAAGGCTGTGAGTAAGAGAGTAGCTTTGTGAGAGAGTATGTTTAATATTACACTGCTCAGTATCTCACAATAATAAAAAAAAAAACCACAAGTGTTACGCTTTAGTGAACTGACCCTAATATTTGTGAACAAAAGGATGTCATCTAAATAGATTGACATTGTGAGATGTATATCTTTTTCACATCACAAAAATAAAAGCTAAAGTCCAAACAAAAATAAAAACCTACCCATGAAAATTACTAGTCTTTCATGTAACAGTGAAAGATACTGCTCAGCTGACAAACTGTTGGATTTGTTTATAGGAAAGCCGAAATGGAGTGCCGAAACCGCCATTCGTCCCTCTCAGCTGGTGAACCAGAATGACCTGTGCCGCCTCCTAGTCATTTACACTCTGGCCCTCAAGCCTCCCCCTGGCTGCCTGTGTAAAGCAACTAAACTTCATTCATCCTATAGTGCTGGAGGGCAGAGCCAAGTACTATGTACCATAGCAGTCCTGCACACCTCTGCCCATCCCGGGTGTCGTGCTGGTAGTGCAGGTGTGAACCTAGCCTCAGGGTCATGCAGTGCATCGTTTGGCTCAAACCTAAAAGGGTAATTAAATGGTTAAACTATGTTTTAAATAAGTTGAAATATATCCAAAGCAATTTTTTTTAAATCTTGTATTTTTGTTTAAAGGGTATCTATGGTCAAAAACTAAACATATATCTGTATTTCTATATCAGATTTCCATATGTTCTATCCCACGTGGCGTGGAGCGGTGACAGAGCAGGGGGCGTGGAGCACTGAGAGCAGTACTGTGCTAGAACTCCTGTGTTGGAGGTGACAGGGTCAATAAAGAGTACCTGTCACCTCTAAATGCTATCACACAAGGGCTTGTTAGCCCCCTGTGTGATAGCAATAAAGTTAAGTGAAGAAATAGTTTTAAAAAAAAAAAGTAAAAAATAATAACTAAATAAAAATGTAAAAAAAATTATAAAATAAATGAAAATTAATTTTTTTTTTACAAAGTAAATAAAAATGGAAAAAAATGAAAACCAGCCCCACTGCCCCCATCATCTGCATGCAAATAAACGTGCAGTGTTTTCAACCGCGATCATGTGCAACCACACGGGCCAGGTGGTGTTGCGGCAGGAAACCACGCAATCTGCCTGGCACGACTGGGGTGCCATTAGAAAATAATGGCACTGCCAGCGCGATCGGCGGTGGGGTGC